GACAACAACCACGGACAGGGAGTGCCTGCCATGTGGCACATGCGCTGATGGCTTGCTTATTGAAGCTGAGTGCACTGATACGTCGCCAACCAAGTGTGTTGGGTGTGATGAGTGTGCGCCGGGACAATACGTTGCAGTTGGGTGTACATTGGATGATCCCACACAGTGTGCTGACTGCACGACGTGTGGCAGTGATGAGTACCAGATGAAGGGGTGCAACGTGTTGCAAGACACGGAGTGTGCGACGCTGACGACGTGCAGCAGCACGCAGTTTGAGGTTGAGGCGCCGACAGCGACGCGTGACCGCCGGTGCAAGGACCTGACGGCGTGCCAGCCTGGGGAGTACGAGTGCACGGCAGCGACGCTGACGACGGACCGCGAGTGCTGCGGGGTGACGCAGTGTGCGCCGGGCAGCGAGGAGACGTCCGCGCCGACGGCGACGTCTGATCGGGAGTGCCGGCAGTGTGTTGCGGGCACGACAGATGCTGACGGAAGCGGGACGACGCCCTGTGTTGCGTGCAGTGCCGGGCACTATGTGCCGCGCGGACGCACTGGCGGGTGTGCGGCGTTTGAGTGCGCGGCGGGCCACGTGGACCAGGACGAGGATGCTGCGACGGCGTGCAAGTTGTGCGAGGCAGGCGTGAACTATGCCGGGAGCGCTGGGCTGACGAGGTGCACGTCTGTGAGCGAGTGCGGCGCTGGCGAGGAGGAGACGAGCGCGCCGACAGCGTCAACGGACCGGGTGTGCAGCACGTGCGCGTCTGGCAAGTTCAAGGCAACGACTGGGCAGACGCCGTGCGAGGCTGTGTCGACGTGCGAGGAGGACGAGTACGTGTACCGTGCGGCGACTGTGAGCACGGACACGCAGTGCCGAGCGCTGACGGCGTGCAGTGATGAGCAGTATGAGACGCGCGCGCCGACAGTGAACAGCGACCGGGAGTGCACGGGGCTGACGACGTGCGGGAGCGGGGAGTACGAGACGCGTGCGCCGACGGCGACGACGGACCGCAAGTGTGCGAGTGTGACGCAGTGCGACTTGACGCAGTTTGTGGTGTCGAAGCCGACGGCGACAACGGACCGGGACTGCGCTGAGTGCGACCGGTGCGATAGCGGGACGCAGTATGAGACGGCGACGTGCACGGCGACGACGAACAGGGTGTGTGCGGACCTGACGGTGTGTGCGGACACGGAGTACGAGTCTGTTGCCGCGACGGACTCGAGCGACCGCAAGTGCTCGAGCTGCCGGGAATGCACGTCGTCTGAGTATCTTGTGTCTGGGTGCAGCGAGAGCGCGAATGCTGTGTGCAAGGCGTGCACTGAGTGCCCAAGCGGGACGTTTGTGTCGACGGCGTGCACGCCGCTTGCTGATGCCGAGTGCACGGAATGCACGCGGTGCGGGAGCGGGTACTTTGTGCAGTCGCCGTGCACGAGCGAGGCAGACACGACGTGCAAGCGGTGCCGGTCGTGTGCGAGCGGAGAGTATCTGCACACGGCGTGCACGAGCAGCGCTGATGCTGTGTGCCGGAAGGTGAGCACGTGCGATGTGGATGCTGGGTATGAGGTGAAGGCGCCGACGGCGACGACAGACCGGGAGTGCCGGGCGCTGACCACGTGCGATGGTGAGAGCGAGTTTGAGTCTCGTGCACCGACGCTGACGAGCGACCGCGTGTGCAGCAAGCTGACGACGTGCACGAGCAGCCAGTATGAGAAGACTGCTGCGACATCGACGAGCGACCGCGTGTGCAGCAAGCTGACGACGTGCACGAGCAGCCAGTACGAGAAGACTGCTGCGACATCGACGAGCGACCGCATGTGCAGCAAGCTGACGACGTGCACCGAGCAGCCAGTATGAGAAGACTGCTGCGACATCGACGAGCGACCGCGTGTGCAGCAAGCTGACGACGTGCACGAGCAGCCAGTATGAGAAGACTGCTGCGACATCGACGAGCGACCGCATGTGCAGCAAGCTGACGACGTGCACGAGCAGCCAGTACGAGAAGACTGCTGCGACATCGACGAGCGACCGCGTGTGCTGCCGTCATTGTGCTTCTGTGGAGCAGCTGTATAATTGCACAGCAGATCATCCCGGCATTTGTACCTGTGCACCCGGTTGAGTCTCATGCATTTTGAACGGATGTGACTGTTGAAGGATGAGAGGGTTGGTTACAAGTCGTTCTCACGCATTCTCACGCACTCACGCAGAAACTGGTTTGTCCATGTCGTTGCTGTAATTCAGGTTCTTTGAATCCACGGATCCAGGAGAGAACGCAACTACACCCTGTCGTGAGTGTGACCTGTGCCCTCCAGGTTACATTCGTGAGGGGTGCGGTAATTCTACTGCAGGTGTGTGCGTGGGCGTGACATGTGAACCACCACCCGTGATTGATGGCGCAGCGATGGCAGTGGCCAACTCGAGCAGATTCCCGTGCAGTACCTCGTACGCATGTGTCCCCGGGTATCTGCTGCATGGGAAGCACCTGGTGCATTGCCTGGAGAACGGGTCATGGCCGCTGGATACAGTCCCCACGTGCGATCCTGTGAGATGTGAGTTGCTGACTCCTCCAAACCACGGAAGCGTGCAAGTGACCAACGATGGAAGATACCCTTCACAAGCTGTCTTTGCTTGCCAGGAAGACTACGAATTGCGTGGTATAGCCGTGCAGCAATGCGGCGTGGATGGGTCGTGGTCTGGCACAGTTCCACTTTGCCTGCAACTGTGCAAGCACGGCTTCGGGCGTGTCGGCGACACTGGAGACTGTGCTGACATTGATGAATGTGAACGCGGCACTGCACCGTGCCATCGAAATGCAACTTGCATGAACACAATCGGGAGCTTTCAGTGTAGAAACACGACAGGTGGTGTGTGTGTTTACTGTAGGCAAACGCAACAAACAAGAACACAAGGAGAATGAACAAGCACAACAAGCTGCTGCCAAATCAACTCGGGCAGCACGCTCAAACAAACACTAGACAAGTGCACACACAGTCAATGACGCTGTCAAGGCGACATGGGCAGAGTGTGCACGAACACAAACAATCTAAACAATGAGCAGCATGCATACATGCGCGCAGAGCAATGCTAGGCATGGCATGAATGCTTGCAGGCAAGCATGCACAACAGACAACACTTCACAACACTACATGGCACGCAGGCATAGCATTTGCCAAGCATGACGGGCATGCACACACACACACACACACATGGCACACAACTCACGTGTGCAGGGGAAGGAGGAGGAGAGAAGAGGCAGTTGGCACACATGCATGCCAGCAGAGAGGAAGGAATGTTTGCCAACGGAAAAACCACAAAGCAGGTGTTGTTGGCAAACAAGACAAAACCACATGAGAAGGCAAATTAGGAAGGACTCAACACAAAACAGAAACTCACTGACTCTCAACACTCCCCCTCAACTGCCTTCCTCTGCTCCGTCTCAGCCGTCGATGTTCCCACCAGTCGTGGAAGGTGCTGCTCGAAGGTCTGCTTGTCCAGTGCCTTGGTCAGCGCGTCGGCAACCATCTGCGTGCCGGGACAGTACTGCAGCACAATGGTTCCGTCAGCGATGAGCTCCCGCACGAAGTGGTGGCGTACCCGGATGTGCTTCGTGCGCGGCTTGGTGACGTGGTCGTTGCCGATGGCGATGGCCGCCTGGTTATCTGTCAGCATCTTGGTGGCTCCATCCTCGGGCTCGCCGAGGTCCATGAGCAGCTGCCGCAGGAAGACGACGTCCTGCGCTGCTGCGGAGACGGCCATGTACTCGGCCTCGGCGGTGCTCAGCGCAACCGTGGGTTGCAGCCGGCTGCTCCAAGACACAAGACAGCCGTTGATGTAGCAGGTGAAGCCCGTCGTGGAGCGGCCCGTCAGCTGGTCCGTGCCGAAGCTGGCATCGCTGTAGCACACAAGGTCCAGCGGCTGGTCCTTGCGCGTGCCGCTGCGTCGCTTGAAGAGGAGGCCGTGCTCGCTCGTCGCCTTCAGGTACCGCACGACGTGCTGGCTGCCTGCCAGTGGA